GGAGTTTGCAGTGAAGATAAACATCCTGAAGGAGAAACGGCTGGATGTCGAGACGCCGTTCTGCAGCAGCTCCACTGTGTCGTCATTTGGATTGGGACACCTGAGAATATTAACAATGACCATCAACAAATCAAATTGTTTAAATTGAAAGACAGTCAACTAAAAACTGATTTCCTGTAAATCATCACACATTTGCATTCTATGTACAATAAATAAATGGAATTCTTTGCATTAGTACAGCAATACTGAAAGATAATATGTGAGGTCATCCTAAAGGGATATGGCATATTATTTATTCAGTCTATGCGCATTTTTTTATTTTCGCATTTTATTTTTTTTAAATGTTAGTGAGTTAAGAGCTTTAAAGAATAGATAAAACAACATTGCTTTACTCTCTGACGATGAGATCCCAGCGGAGACTGTGATCAGGATCATTCACAGGTGTAGCCCAACACGTCTCCATCACCAGGGCAAACTGGTGGCTGTCAACCCCCTCGACACGAACTTCCACATTCATCTTCTGTTCGAGCTCTGCATCCACTTTACCAGTGAAGGGCCGAGTAAACTCATCATCCTCATATGGAATCATCCGAACCTGATATCTGCCTTCACCAGCGGGAAGAGTCCTGTGCACAACACTGTTGAAATAATGGATAGACCTGTGTTAAATCTACTCTGATTAATGGCTAAAATGCTACTCCTTTAATAAAATAGCACAGCTGGAATCAGAATTTATATTTGACTCGCACCTCTCCAGTGGGTTGATTTCCACATTCATGGAAAGTGTTTGTGTTTGAGGATAAACACAGCTGAAAGAAAGCTTAAGAATTTTATCTCTGCTGATGAGGCCTTCTGACCTCGGTGTCCCCAGAATAAAGTTACTATAGATGAAGTGGGTGCCGTTGGCCTGTGGACCACATGTATAACATTTTGACATTTAGACTGAATTGAAAACAATAAAAACTTTTATTATTTTATTATTATTATTATTATTATTATTAAATATAAAACCCCAAAAAGTTCAAAAAGTATCAGTCAATTCAACTCTATTGGTTCTATCAGACACTACAAATGTTTGGGATGGTGTATTTGAATAGATTATACATAATATATCCTACCAGAAGATTTGTGCCACAAATGTGTTCATCGTTATCAAAATGGAATTCCACTCTGCCATTCCGGACCGTTCCTTTGCAGCTGGAATCATTGAGGTGTAACACGTCAGCTGGAAAACCAGCCTCAAAGAGCTGACAGCGAGACACAGACATGGAGCCAGAGCTGCTTTCACAGGTTTCTGAGAAATCTGAGAGAATAAAAACAATCAAATGATTGTCGGAATTATTAAAAAATCAAATGTAAAAATGACCAAAAAAAAAGAATGTATTATATTTTGTTGTGGAATGTTACCAACCAAAAGAGTCAGCTTCTGGTCTGGGTAGGTCATCGTTACACAAACAGCCATAAACACCACTTTTCTTCCCACACCACTCATCCTCAGAGCAGCTGAGCTCAGAGCAGCGATCTCTCACATCTAAGAAAAGCAGAGATAGATGAAATATAACACAAAGACATTGAGTCATAATAAGAGAGCTCAACATTCTGAGCCCCCTGAATGAGTATTGCTCAACAATCCTCAAGGTAATTATATATATATATATATATATATATATATATTTATGTATTTATTTTTTCCCCTAGTGATTTAAAGTGCATTTCATAGTTTCAATAATTTTCCCACTGAGATACACAAATAATAGCCTATTAGTCAGGTTTTTTTTTTAAACAGACTTTTAACATTTGACCATTAGAATTAAATTGCTGGGGGATTTTATTACTTTACCTTAAAATTATCTATATAAACACCCTCTATATGTCTAAGTCTATGTTAGCTGTGAAATTGCTCTTAAGAACGAGTGATGTCGGATTAGTGACAGGTTAGGTGGAAATCAGTTCATGAATCACAGCTCTTTCATGCACTGAATCATTTGGAAGCAGTTTGTCATAGTAGTTGGTAGTGCAGCTGCATGTTTTTTTTTTTTTGCAACACTGGTGACAAGACCACAAAATAATCTGTGCTGAAATGTTATTTTGGCTTACCACACCGCAGACCCGAGCGCCATTCTGGGATCTGTATCTCTAAGATGGCACAAGCTGTCTCATAGGCCTCAACAGCTGAGCATAACATGCCATTAGCACGTGTGTACAGACACAGATCATACACACAAGAGTAGTAGTAAGGTGCAGGGTCAACATGAAGATGGCAGTTCTGGAAGGGGCCAGTGGTGTTGGTGATAATGCTACAGAGATCAGAGTATCTCTGCCTGGATGGACACTCATCAGCATTCCCAGTCTGGTCTCTGGCACCACAACTGAAGAATACATGACAAAACGAAGTTTAGTTAAATGCTTACACTATTTCATCACTTGGACAAAGAAAGAGTTCACAGGTGAACAACAAACATAATTTGCTACTTTTGCGTATTTTAACCAAAAGCAGTGACTCTCAACTTGTTTTTACAATGGACATTGTGTGGTAACTCTATACAATACTAAAAGTAAACAAAAGAAAAGACATAAACCTTTGAATCTTTTTCCCTGTCCAGTGCTCTATCAAAACCTGAGAAACATTTTTTTTTTCATCATGACCCACCAGGTAAAAACAACTGTCCTAAAGTCTCATGGTTCTTACCCTGGAATGCTGGTGTCTGATTGCCAGCTGTGGCCAAAGGAATCATCATCAGGAGCGGGGTCTCCACTGGGCAGCACTTTGTCATCTGCAGGATTACCGTTGAAATTTCCACACATTCCGCATAGAGAGCCATAGAATCTTTCACTCACTCTGACTAGAAGGCTGCTAAGTCCATCAAAATGGACAATGAATTCATTGAAAGCATTTAGAATTATGAATCCCTGCTCCTCACGTATCTCTACAAGATCATTGTTTTGATATGCTGGTGTGTCGATGGCATTCCCATCAACCTAGAGGGAAATCAGAAAATTTCAACATCTCTAACGAGAGAAAATGAAAGAAAATATATTTACATTGACATGATTTGAATTTACATTGACTTACTTTAACTCTCCTGTTCTGCCCAATTGTGATGTGCATCTGTTGTCCATGCTGAGACAACCAAACATCCACTGCAGACACAAATGATACCACCATGTTCCCACGGTGCCTGTTGGTGGCCACCACACGGAACTCCAGATCATTGTCAGTTACATTACCACAGGTCTGAGCAATCTCATATGAACAAGTTCCCTAATAGAAAATAACACAATGCACATAGTCTTCATAATTTCTTTCATTTGCCACACAGCTGCAACTTCACAGCCAGAAATGTCTTGTAAGACATTAGATAGATTCATAAATCAAAGAATTTCCAGTGCTATGAAAAATATTAATAATAATTAATAATAAAAGTGAATTTGTATAGTACATTTTATTAGTATATTTGTATAGTATATAAGTATATTTGCAGTCAAATTTGTTTAGATAGTTTAACACCAATAACCCTTATAACCCTCCTTTAAATAAACTTGACTGCTAAGTCAGTTGTCCCCTACAACTGGGTCACAAAACAACAGTTAAGGTAATTATGTACAAAAATAGCAGAGTTTTCTAATTCATACCTGAAAGTGGGCCACAGCTCCATCAAAGGTGATGTAGTGGGGGTCACCCCAGACTGTGCAGGTGGACATTGGACTGTAGCAGTCACGATGTCCATTTCTGACCGCACAATCCATGGTCGATGGGCAGACAGATGCAGAGCAGCGTAGATCATTTGGAGCAAAACACTGACAGCGTTGGGAACATGTTGAATCCCAGAACTGTTCACCAATCTATAAAATGATAATGATGAACTTTACATTTTCATAACATAATGTCAATGAGTATTTTCACCTACAAAAAAAACATCAAGGTACAGCATCATCATAAGGCTGTGTGCCTCATTATCCTTTGCCCCATGTGATAATACTTAGACGAAAAGGTAATGCTTAGATCCTTACATTATAGTAGAATCCATCATACAAGCAGCCACATTGCTCCACTGGTACACAGAGTCCTCCACTCCTCACAAATTCCTCATCACAGAAACAACCTTCTGAGCATGTGTGTTCACAACTAGCATCAATGCTGCTGGCACATGTATGGCTACAGTCTGTGCCACACACCTCATAATGGCTGTTTGGGATGTTTGAGGAGCAGTCCATGACTGGAAATGCAACAACAAAATGTATTTGTAGAATGCAATTAATAGCATGTACAATATGGCATCTTTGAAATAAAAGGGGAAACACCTTGAATAAAGAAAACAAATTAATCTGTGGTTGGTATTTTTACATATTTTACATACTTACCACAGGATACATTTTCTCTCCAGGGATAGACAACAGTATTGGCAGATTGACAAGCACTCACATAGGCTTGGACAGAGTGACACAAGACATCATTACTGTTCTCAGAAATGCACACATCAAACACACAGTTATTAAAGTAGGCCTGTGGATCAACAGAACCATGGCAGAAGCTAAAGGGACCCTGACTGTCCCTGATGATCTCACACAAGGCTTGTGAGATTAGAGTTGTGCTCTCATCTTGGCAATAGCCAGGAATATCACCGCCTCCACAGTCATGATTGTATGACATGTCATCCGCAACCATCCATTCTGCCCCAAACTGGTCTGCTGAATGTGCCAGATCACCTGAAGGAGTGAGGAAGTCATCCTCGGGAAGGCCATTGAAGTTGCCACAAATGCCACAAACAACTCCATTGTAGTCTGCTGGCACAACAATGTTTAACTCCCAGGAACCACCATAACTGACACCGAAACCATAGTCAGTTGAGACATATATAAACTGTCCTGTGGAGTAGACAGAGACCCGACCAGAGTCAAGGTAGACGGGAAGGTTTCTGATCTCTTCATCAACCTGGTTGAAGGAAAAGTGGAGATGGTTTATACAGTGCAATCCAATGAATAATTAGAACAATAATGTTTTTTCATATCACATATACTCCATGGCAAATTACAGTGAGTTTGAACAGTTTACCTTAACAGCAGAATAACCGTTCATGTCCTGTGACATGTGCACAAGGTGCCCTGAGACATTGACAAAAACTTCGACAGTTATTGACACTGGCCATTCATGCCAGCCATCATTTCTTGCATCCACCTGGAAGTGCGGTAGACCACGAGTATCATCACATACTTTGGCCAGCACGTATCGGCATCTGCCTTGAAAGTCAAAATAGGTTCCATCAAAAGACTTATAATGGGGGTCTCCTGAAGCATAACAGCTACCATGTGGATGAGGATGGCAGCCATACTCCCCCTCCACCACACGGCAGATCTCCTGTTCACTGCAAGATGATGGTGTGCAACGGACATTTCCAGTGATTCCATCACAGACACAAAGGAACTGACACTCTTCACCATGCCAGAACTGCTCTCCAGGCTGCCGATAACGCCCATCATAGCGGCAGCCGCAGCCAGTGGGGTAAACACAGCGATCTCCATCCAGCACCAGTCCATCATTGCACTGGCATCCCCCCTGGCATGGCAGCGTGCACTGGAAGGGAAATGAGAGGCTAGGGCAGGATGCAGGACAGGATGTGCCACACAATTCGAAATGGGTATTTGCTGGACAGTTTGGATCTGGGAGGTTTAAGATAAAACATGGAAATGGCAATGAATGATCAGCACTTTGAAGGAGATATATAGTTTCAATTCTGAAAATCTTATCATATTACAAGATACTAACCACAGTGGGTGATACTCATCCACTCTCCGACTGCGATGCCATTCTGTTGGCAGTGCAGTGTATAGCCTCGCAGGGCCTCACATAGAGCCTCCCTGGCACCGGCCGTCTGCTCCAGCATCTGAATGCAATCTTCAATCCGTTGCCAAGGGTCTAGTGTTCTGCTACACTCAGCAAATGGTCCATCATTCATGGCCATGATGCTGCAGCGCTCTCTGAACTCGCTCCTGTTCTGATAATGATCTGGTTCCCACATGTCAGTTGGGTCCTCACAGTGGGCTGACAGGGATCCATCACGCCAGCTGTCTGCAAAAAGCTGGGAGTCATCCAGCAGGACACCATCCGGGCTGTAGAATTCATCTTCAATGTTTCCATTCAAGTTCCCACACAGACCTCCAAGTGTACCATTGTAAGTGGTTGGCGCAGTGATTCGAACAATGTGGGGCCAATCAGCTCTAACAGTCACTCCAAAGTTTGTCTCCAAAACAAAACCTCTTGCACTGCTGTGATAGATATGGATTTGACTGGAACCAACACTGATAGGTAGACCAACCATCTGTCCATCCACCTGAGGAGAAAAAAAGTCTGAATTTGATCTAGCATTTGAGTTTGAGATAATGGTTAAATGACTCTTAATACAAGGCTGAGGAAAAAAAACATTTTGGCTAACCTGTACATTGCTACCTTCTCCCAATTCAATGGAAACATGAGTTCCTCCTGCCTCAAACTTCAGGAACCTGGAAAAGTCTTGAAGGCCTCTGGGTACTTTCTCAACTGTTAATACAAAGTATGTCAGTTGGGATGGCCCCATAACTCTTGCCAGGGTCAGTGCACAAGCTCCTGGGTATCTGAAAGTTTGTCCATCAAAGGTGTGGTATGAACCCAGGCTTTCAACTGAACAGGTACCATAACTGATGGGTCTGCAACCCCTTACACCATTATGGAGTCCACACACTTCAGCTGGACCACACTGGTGCTGAGCGCACAACATTGACCTGCTATTGCAAATGCATAGCCTTCCACAGTCCTCGCCCAACACTACTGACTGTCCCTCAGAGTAATAGAAGCCCTCAAAGACGCAGCCACAGTTTGCTTCAGGCACACATTGCCCAGCGCTGAATATGTATCCATCATCACAAATACAGCTCTCCTGATTGGGCAGGGGGCAGTTTATTGGGGCAGAGGGGTTGCTGCATGTTGCAGGGCAGCTTGTTCCTTGGGACTCAAAATGGCTGTGCTCAGGACATTGAATCTCTGGATATGGAGGGCAGAAGTAAGAATATGCATCAAACTCTTTGATCTTTCACACTGCACAGTTATTTCAGTTACACAAAGTTGAATGAAAACATGAAGACATAACAAGGCACTTACCACAAAAGCCTGGTTGTCTCCACTGCCCTAGTTGTACACCCTGCTGTTGGCATTGGGCAGAATACACATTGAGAGCCTGGCACAGAATCGGCTGGTACCCTCCTCCTAAGCAAAGATCATAGACACAGTTCTCTATGTAGGTCTGTGGCGAAAACACAGAGTGGCAAGATGCAAAAGGCCCCGAAACATCTCCTAGTATCCCACAGTGGTTTGTGTCACTGTAAAGGCTCATTTCATTGGCGGTACAAACCGCACAACCTAGACCTGTGCAGCTGACATCATGGCATTCGGGATCTGTGTCTCCCTCTACCTTCCAAGAGTTGGCAAAGTCAACATCCGAGCTCAAGATCTCCCCAGAGATTGAACGGAAGTCATCTTCAGGATGTAAGTTATAGTTACCACACAGACCACATGTGGCATTCTGGTAGTCATAAGGTACAGAGATGGTGACGTAGCTATATGCATCATATGTAACTAGGAGACCAAAATCTGTGCTGATGGCCAAGGAAAAACCTGACTGATAGACTTGGATGGAGCCATTGCGGAGGGTGAAGGGTGTTGCTATAAAGGTCCCATTAACCTTGACAATGTTGACAAAAAGAAATTAGGAAAATGGAAGGATGGCTGAACTCAGTATTACAGCAAAACAGTGATACTTACCTTTGCTTCATAATAGTGATCTTTAACCAGTTCAATTTCTTCATTATAGACAAATACTCTGACCATTCGAGTCCATGACACATGTGTGCTACCCCGATGCTCATTTTTTCCCTCAATGCGATAGTATTGGATTGGAAATAGCAGCAGTTATTGCTCCAGTGACCGCATACATCTCGAGTGACCACTCCATCCTCAACTGTTGGATGTCCTCCGTTCAGCCACAGTGGAGCATGAGTGCCACAACTCAACTCATCAACACATGTGTCTGGCATCTGAACGCTTTGACCCTGAATGAAGAGACGGTACCAGCCATTCCAGCTGACCCAAGAGTCACACATTATTTGAGAGGAATGTTGATTGTTGGTGGCTCTCCATAGATCATCCAGGTCATTGTAGTTGTAGCAGGGGTCGACAGGTGGAGCTGGTGAAATGGAAACATTAAAAACATAAATGTTTCTGACTAAATTATTGTTATATATTTTTTGTACAACTGAAGTAGTGGTATGAAATCTTCACAATGCTCTTTCCTTAAGCTCCCTGTTACTCTTGTGCATTAAGTTATTCAAAGCTGAAGATAGTTTCTCTTGAGTTTGAACATCTTTTATTTTGCTGTGAAAAAAACATGATTTAAGATGCCAGCAATGAGCTCTTTCACAATTGAAAAACATGACCTCGAAAAGATCAAAATGAAAACACAATTCACCTCTTTTTTGCAATAAGGGATTTGTGTGTGGTGTTCTGCATATAGACCACTTATCAGGGGTCCTATCATGGAAAAAAAAATGTCTTTGTGCCAAATCAGCTATGACAATAAACTCTATTCAATTCTATCAATAAATAAACTTGAAATGCTATCAATTTTCCCTCTGACTTTTATCTTTTATCCATGAGTATACATGCCATTAGGTTATTTCCTGCCTCTGATTGTTGGAGTCTGCAAACAGTTTGAGGATATGAAAGGAGTCTAAAGAAGTCTGAGAAACTGGTGTTAGTTTTCATTGTGAATAAAACAACACGTTGGTTCTTCAGTACTTTACTTGATTAACCATCTGTAAAAGTCTATATATACTGTAATATATAGAGTTAGAGAAGCAACAGAATCAGTCAAGTACCACAGAGAGTCTTTAGACAACTGCTGTCCTTTCCTTCTCATTTATATTGCATTGTCATTTTGTGAGCTGCATTACAAATTTTTATGTGAGCTTTACTCATATTAAGTCAATTTAGCTGTACATTTGTGTTTAACGCAACAGAAACAGAACAATTTTAAGAGACTGTGTGTAATGAAAATATGTGCAAAAAGAAACTCATGAAGGTTTATAAATTAAACAAGACAATACTTTACCAGTGGTTGTGATTGGTGGAGTAATGGATTCTATGGGTGGGATTGTCTCAGTTGTTGTAGACACTGATGCGATGGACTGGTTTGAGGCTTCTGGTATTAAGAAAAAAAATGTAATCTCAGTAAATAATTTGTAAACAAAACTCAGAAAAGTAAATGAATAAATTACATATGAGTAAATACTTACCTACACAGTAAGCTCCACAAAACATTGGCTTGACAAACTCATAAACATAGTAATTTCCAGGACAGGCTTTGACTCTTATAGGGTGGGATTTGTAAGTACAGCAGTCACCCCATGGGAGACAGACCTGACGGGTGACCACTCCATCTTCCAGCTGTGGATGAGTGCCGTTTAGTGACAGTGGGTATTCAGTGCCACACATACCATAATTAACACATGATTCTGGCATGTGGGCATTTTGACCATTGTAGAACAGTCTGTACCAGCCATTCCACTCCACATTATAATCACACATGCCATAGTAGTAATTGTTATTATAATAGGAGTTATCAGTGGCTCTCCAGGGCTCATCTAGAATGCTGTATGTGTAGCAGGGGTCGACACTTGGGGTGGTGAAAGGTACTATTATGAAAAAGAGAGCATTACATACATCAGATTTAATTTATTCAATATAATAATATGAAAACCAACAGTATAATTGATAATAAGCATGTCAGATATAATGATGAATGAAAGTACACAACACCTGCACAATATACAGGAGCTGGGATTGAAAGAGTTGGTCTGGTAAATTTGTAGACATAATAATTTCCTGGACAAGCTTTAACTTGGATTGGTTCAGATCTGTAGTGACTGCACTGATAATGGCGAGAGCCGTAAATTTCACGAGTAACAACTCCATCTTCTAGCTCAGGATGAGAGCCACCAAGATACAGAGAACTGAAACCTCCACATGACATATAATAAAAACACGACTCAGGCATCTGAGCACTCGACTCATTAATGAAGAGTCGATACCAGCCATCCCATTCTACACGAGTGTCATCATGATCAGAGATGTATCCATACATAGACCAGTAATTGAGTGTGCTTCTCCAGTGGTTATTGACTATGTTGTAGTTTTCGCACGGGTCATAATCTGTGTTAGTGAGAGACCAAAACAAACAAGTTATACTTCACTGAAGAACTTCATAAGTGCAAATCTCTACCAGTAAAAGACAGTAGCAATCAAGAGATTGTTAAATTGTTCACAGCATAACTGTGTGATAGTGAAGCTAAAGTTAATGCATAAAAGGTGCTACTTTCATTGCTAAATAAATAAATACGTTAACACTTTAGATTAGGGAACACATTAAGTATTAAAAGTTTTCCCGAAATAAACTCCTAATTCCTACTGCTTATTAATAATAATTAAGGTCATTGTTGTAGTAGTCATGTTTAGGTATTGTTACGCCTGAGGCTGTATTGGTGCTGCTGCATATGTGTGTTTCTTTCTCTCTTTGATGTTGTTGCTATCTTTCCCTTTTGTTTTTTTGTTTTTTCTCCTGTCCCGTTTTTCACAGGGTGGCCAGCCTTAAGATGTTTAGATGTGCCACCAGAGTGCACAGTGGTAGGTGACGGGCAATGCCGGCATCTTTTAAAAGAGGAACGGAAGAGCAACATCCCCAGTGGGTGGTAAAGAGACAGAGTAGAGTGTGTTGGCCACCTTGTTGAATGTTTTTGAAATTGTGCTATCATACCTTGATTGTAAGATCTGTTGAAGCTTGAGTGAGCTATTGATAATGTTTACTTATTGATAATGTTTATGTTTTTTAGGGGTGTGTGTTAGACCACTTAGGGTTAGGGTTAGGTGGGTGCCATTTATTTTTTTACATACTTTTCTCCTGGTTTTTGGTTTAGTTAAGGAGTTATACTCTTAAAAATAAAGGTGCTTCACGATGCCATAGAAGAACCTTTTTGTCTAAATGGTTCCATAAAGAACCTTTAACATCTGAAGAACCTTTCTGTTTCACAAAAAGTTATTTGGGGCAAAATAAGTTCTTCAGATTATAAAAAGGTAAGAAAGAGATGGTTCTTTAAAGAACCTTTGACTGAATGGTTCTTTGTGGAACTAAAAATGGTTCTTCTTTGGCATTGCTTGAAGAACCTTTTGAAGCACCTTTATTTTTAAGAGTGTAGGGAAGTTCTTGAATTGTCTTTTGTTTATTTCGTTCCTGATAGGGAATTTAGTTTCTGGGTTAAAGTAGCTTACTTTGTATATTATTTTGGCTTGGCCCAGCCCTGAAATTATTTCTGCGTTCTTATTCATTGTATTATCTGCTGGCAAAGCTTGTTTTCCTCTAACCTCACAATAAAAGCAAGAACCCGAGGAAGTTATTTTGAAATCAACTTTTTTTTATTCTTTCATTCTTCTTTTTATTTTCCTTTTATGTGTAACCCTTGAACCCTAGACATGGGCGTCTTAACAGTATATGGTCGAATTATAGGATCTAGAAATTGGTTATGCAGAGTAATGCATTTATATGTGCTTTGTAAGTTCTAGTAAACAGCCAATATGCTAGTAAGATGGAACCTAATTAGAAATTAGTTAATGGGGAATAGTGTTCCCTAATCTCAAGTGTTATCATAAATGCATTTTAAAAATTTAAACATACATATATAACTTACTCAAGGTGATGCTGGATCCAGTGATTATATCTGGACTTACAGTATAAGCCAACTGTGAAATAGTGCTGACATCTACAAAGAAGGACATTCAAGACATGGCTGAGATCATTTTAAAAGGTTTAAGAAAGTGGAAAGTGGTTTTAAAAAGTGGTAAAAAGCAAGGTACCTGTGCAGTATCCTGAACACCCGATTTGTGGTTTCACAAGTTCATAGACATAGTAATTTCCTGGACACGCTTTCACTCTGATGGGGTTTGTCTTGTAATCACAGCAGCCACTCCAATAATAATTACCACAGACCTCTCTGATCACCACTCCATCCTCTATCTGAGGGTGAGGACCATTGAGCCACAGATTGATGTATGTGTTACAGCTGTATGAACTAACACAGGTTTCTGGCATCTGGATGTTCATTCCATAGTAGAAAAGCCGGTACCAGCCATTCCAGGAGAAAGAGTCATCACAAACGTAATCTCCACTTTCATTGTTGGCTCTCCAGGGACGATCCAGAGACTCATAGTTGTAGCAGGGATCACTGCTGATGCTGCTGAAAGCAACTGTCATGGTATTTTTAAAAGTACTGTTAAAATACGGTATTTACTGTACATTGAAGGCAATTTAGAGTATTACATTGTGAAAAAAATTATACATTTAAACTGCAAAAGAAGTGATGTTATGTAAACGGGTATTTAGACTGACACACATAGAGCCTAATATTTAAACAACAACAACAACAAAAACTGTTTTGATTCATTTTTAGGTGGAGGACAGGTAAATTATGTAGAGATATTCATTAAGAATGGAGTAATTTAGTGATTATGTATTATCATTAATAACATGGCAAAACACACTTACAGTTGAAATTTACATAATTTACAGTAGAAAGGAGCTGTTATTGGTTCGTCTAGAGTTGTGAGATTTGAGGAACTGTGTTACAACTAACATGAGAGCTACAGTAGGAGAGTGCTATGAGAGTGTGGGGAGAATTACAGAGTAGCCTACAGAATGTGTAATGGACTGCACTGATTCTAACTGGTTAAACCAGGTTTAACTTAATAAAATAATAAATTAAAATGTATGTTAAATTATCTAATAATCAGACCATTAACTCTTGATACTTACATAAAAAAAATCACAACATTTTGAAAAGAAAAAGAGTTCAAATTTCACCTGCACAATATGTAGGTCCAGGGGCTGATATGTTGGGTTTGACAAATTCATAGACATAATAATCTCCTGGACAGGCTTTGACTTGGATAGATGTGGAATTGTAGGCTCCACACTGATTGGAATACCCCCACCACCACCACATATGACTTCCCAAAACTTCACGGGTCACCACTCCATCCTCAACTCTTGGATGAGAGCCGCTGAGATATAGTCCGGTGTAACCACCACATCCCGTATTACTCACACACCACTCGGACATCTGAGCACTTTCTCCGTTCAAATACAGCCGATACCAGCCACTCCATTCAACAAGGGTGTCATCATGTCCATAGTACTGATACGCGTTTTGTCCTAAGTCTCTCCAGTATTCCTCAAGAGTGGTATAATCATAGCAGGGATCAGAGGTGGAAGTTGTAGGTTCTGAGAGAATAATGACATAAAAAAGGACAAAGATTTATGAGTGTCTTTATGATAAGATATTGGGATAGTATACTAAGGAGGGATTATATAAATTGACTGCGCTTGTATCCTCTTTTAAAACATTCTGTCACTAATTTAAAAATATTTACTAACTTGATCTCAGTTCATTTATAGGAGCTATATTCACTTCCATTAGCTCGAATGGCATGTGGCTCTTAAAAAAATATAAAAGTACGGTTGTTTTTTGTGTGCTCAAAATATATATTTATTTTGAATAGGTTGTATAGTATATCTGTATTGTAATGCTTATTATTGTACCACATGTTTGCATTTGTACAGGAAACATTTATTTTCTAAAAGTACTGAGGCTTTGAATAAAAGAAAATGTAAATGTTTATTGACACCATAAAGTGAAAATATTGAATAAATTGAGCACTTGCTCTGGTATGTAATCAAAGTACAAAGTATCAAAGTATGTATCCAGTATGTAACAATGTACAATTTCCTTAAAAATGTGATTATAGCTATCACGTCTACTATCATTCTCTCTGGTCTGTTTTCAGGTGCTGCTGTTTCTGCTCTGTCCAGCAGGTGAAGTCTAGTGTTATTGTTCTGCTGTCTATCATGGATCATCTGTTACTAACATAACCTGTTAACATAACCTGTTACTCCACCCATTTCACCTTAGTGTTCCCTAATCTCAAGTGTTATCATAAATGCATTTTAAAAATTTAAACATACATATATAACTTACTCAAGGTGATGCTGGATCCAGTGATTATATCTGGACTTACAGTATAAGCCAACTGTGAAATAGTGCTGACATCTACAAAGAAGGACATTCAAGACATGGCTGAGATCATTTTAAAAGGTTTAAGAAAGTGGAAAGTGGTTTTAAAAAGTGGTAAAAAGCAAGGTACCTGTGCAGTATCCTGAACACCCGATTTGTGGTTTCACAAGTTCATAGACATAGTAATTTCCTGGACACGCTTTCACTCTGATGGGGTTTGTCTTGTAATCACAGCAGCCACTCCAATAATAATTACCACAGACCTCTCTGATAACCACTCCATCCTCTATCTGAGGGTGAGGACCATTGAGCCACAGATTGATGTATGTGTTACAGCTGTATGAACTAACACAGGTTTCTGGCATCTGGATGTTCATTCCATAGTAGAAAAGCCGGTACCAGCCATTCCAGGAGAAAGAGTCATCACAAACGTAATCTCCACTTTCATTGTTGGCTCTCCAGGGACGATCCAGAGACTCATAGTTGTAGCAGGGATCACTGCTGATGCTGCTGAAAGCAACTGTCATGGTATTTTTAAAAGTACTGTTAAAATACGGTATTTACTGTACATTGAAGGCAATTTAGAGTATTACATTGTGAAAAAAATTATACATTTAAACTGCAAAAGAAGTGATGTTATGTAAACGGGTATTTAGACTGACACACATAGAGCCTAATATTTAAACAACAACAACAACAAAAACTGTTTTGATTCATTTTTAGGTGGAGGACAGGTAAATTATGTAGAGATATTCATTAAGAATGGAGTAATTTAGTGATTATGTATTATCATTAATAACATGGCAAAACACACTTACAGTTGAAATTTACATAACTTACAGTAGAAAGGAGCTGTTATTGGTTCGTCTAGAGTTGTGAGATTTGAGGAACTGTGTTACAACTAACATGAGAGCTACAGTAGGAGAGTGCTATGAGAGTGTGGGGAGAATTACAGAGTAGCCTACAGAATGTGTAATGGACTGCACTGATTCTAACTGGTTAAACCAGGTTTAACTTAATAAAATAATAAATTAAAATGTATGTTAAATTATCTAATAATCAGACCATTAACTCTTGATACTTACATAAAAAAAATCACAACATTTTGAAAAGAAAAAGAGTTCAAATTTCACCTGCACAATATGTAGGTCCAGGGGCTGATATGTTGGGTTTGACAAATTCATAGACATAATAATCTCCTGGACAGGCTTTGACTTGGATAGATGTGGAATTGTAGGCTCCACACTGATTGGAATACCCCCACCACCACCACATATGACTTCCCAAAACTTCACGGGTCACCACTCCATCCTCAACTCTTGGATGAGAGCCGCTGAGATATAGTCCGGTGTAACCACCACATCCCGTATTACTCACACACCACTCGGACATCTGAGCACTTTCTCCGTTCAAATACAGCCGATACCAGCCACTCCATTCAACAAGGGTGTCATCATGTCCATAGTACTGATACGCGTTTTGTCCTAAGTCTCTCCAGTATTCCTCAAGAGTGGTATAATCATAGCAGGGATCAGAGGTGGAAGTTGTAGGTTCTGAGAGAATAATGACATAAAAAAGGACAAAGATTTATGAGTGTCTTTATGATAAGATATTGGGATAGTATACTAAGGAGGGATTATATAAATTGACTGCGCTTGTATCCTCTTTTAAAACATTCTGTCACTAATTTAAAAATATTTACTAACTTGATCTCAGTTCATTTATAGGAGCTATATTCACTTCCATTAGCTCGAATGGCATGTGGCTCTTAAAAAAATATAAAAGTACGGTTGTTTTTTGTGTGCTCAAAATATATATTTATTTTGAATAGGTTGTATAGTATATCTGTATTGTAATGCTTATTATTGTACCACATGTTTGCATTTGTACAGGAAACATTTATTTTCTAAAAGTACTGAGGCTTTGAATAAAAGAAAATGTAAATGTTTATTGACACCATAAAGTGAAAATATTGAATAAATTGAGCACTTGCTCTGGTATGTAATCAAAGTACAAAGTATCAAAGTATGTATCCAGTATGTAACAATGTACAATTTCCTTAAAAATGTGATTATAGCGATCACGTCTACTATCATTCTCTCTGGTCTGTTTTCAGGTGCTGCTGTTTCTGCTCTGTCCAGCAGGTGAAGTCTAGTGTTATTGTTCTGCTGTCTATCATGGATCATCTGTTACTAACATAACCTGTTAACATAACCTGTTACTCCACCCATTTCACCTGCTCATCATCTCATTATCTACAGGTATATTTACCTGCTTTCTTCAGTGACGCTCAGCCACATCTTTCCAACCTTATTAGTTTGTTCGTTCTTTAATGTGATTTCTTGTCTGATTTTGACTTCAAGGCATTTCTATATAAATGTTTTTAGCAAACCTGACATTTAAATCTGCATCTGAGTCCAAGCTGAGTCTTCCTGACATATAGTACTTTAATACAGTGAAATTCAGACATAAATCAACAATTTAGAACGTTTTTCAATGGTATGAAAGACATTTGAATGGAAGACCATGGCATTTCTAAATTGTAACACATATTAATATATACTGTATAAATTGTCAGTTACTAAATAATCTCATAGTTGTAAGATGTAAAGTTGGAATTCTGAGAAATAAGGTCACAATTGTGAGAAATAAAATTGTCTAATGAGCCAAACCTGACTTTTCAAGTTGAATATATTTTTTTCTGTTGTCTAAAACACGTTTTATAGTCAAAACAAAAATAATAATAAAAAAATAATAATAATAAAATATTTTTTCTTATAAGTTATTCTTAAAATTTAGCCCATTTTGTCCCAAAAAGCCTGACCGTTTGGATGGTTATGTAAATATATATGATTATTATTGTAATTATGGCAACTGCTAATCATTGGTGATCTGCTGAACCTACATGCATCATAAAATGGACTGACCACAGAATTTGCCAGTTTGGAATGCATGTCACAATTGACAAAAATTCCAAACCATTTGTGTTTGGTCTATTTAACACAAAATTACAAAAATAATGAACCTTTTTCTAAGTGTAAGAAGAAGAAAAAACTTGACCAGATAAAGAGAGAAAAACAAAACAAAAAAACACAGAAAACATGAAACCGTAGCGCACAAAGTGTCCAGCAGAGGGCGGCCAAAATAAGTAGTTTAGCAACTCTTTAACCTCACCATCATAGACATTATATTTAGATATTTAGTGTTTGATCAACTTTTAAACTCACCATTGAGCAGCGATTGCTTGACAGAAGGCACAGGTGAACAGCGCAGTGAGTCATCTGTTCCTGCATGATGGGTCAAAGTATCAGCCCCAAAAAGTGCGTCGGCCCACCGGGAAAATGCACTATATGTCAGATGGCCAGTCCGCCCTTGGTTTCACATCATGAAATGATGTGCGTCAAATGAGTCACTGTAGAAATCAAATACGTTAGTGGTTGCGGACGAAATAACTCAACACCATGAGCCAATGCAAATGCAATGACATGTGAAATAAAACATCATCATGTTTTACAGAAGAGTGGCTTGATTAAGTGGTGGAAATAGCAGATGATGAGCACAGAACAGTAACAAAACTGAGACATTTAGAGTCACACACAGGTGTAGTAGCGTGCAAACTGTACTACTCTAAACTCTACTTAGATAACTATATAAGAATTCACGTTCACAATTTTTGAAAATATTTAGCTGACAGATCTCAGTTTAAATGCTTCAGTTTGTTTTCTATTCTATCAGTTTAAATGAATCAATTTGTTTTTATATTATATATTTTATTGTAATTATATTATATTATAAACCTAATAATAATGTATCTCAAAAAGGGAATTCATGAATAATATCTGCTTAATTTTTCATTTTACATTAGCATATATAATATAATATAATATAACGTAATATAATATTATATTATTATAAAGAATTTAACTTTTTTTATGATTTTTAATAGAGATTGTGTTCTTGGTAACAGCACTGTAAAAAATGTTTTCTCAGGTAACCTAAAATGTGCATCCTTCAGTTACATCAAGGGTCAAATCAAATATAAATAGCAAATAACAGTTAAAAGTTACACACTTTTTTGTGTGTGCTGCTTAATTTTTCATTTTACATTAGCATATATAATATAATATAATATAACGTAATATAATATTATATTATTATAAAGAATTTAACTTTTTTTATGATTTTTAATAGAGATTGTGTTCTTGGTAACAGCACTGTAAAAAATGTTTTCTCAGGTAACCTAAAATGTGCATCCTTCAGTTACATCAAGGGTCAAATCAAATATAAATAGCAAATAACAGTTAAAAGTTACACACTTTTTTGTGTGTGCGTGCTGTATAAAGAATATGCGCTGGTATAAAGAATGTTTTTGCTCAGGTGGCCGAAATGTCCGCCCAGTAGAGAAAAGTTTTGCTCAGCAAGAAAAAAAATTAGATGGATCATTGCTCATGAGGTTACTATATAGGAGTCAAGACAATACTTTACCAGTGGTTGTGATTGGTGGAGTAATGGATTCTATGGGTGGGATTCTCTCTGTTGTTGTAGACACTGATGGGATGGACTGGTTTGAGGCTTCTGGTACTAAGAACATGTTTTATATTAATAAATCAAAACAAGCAAGTTACTGTATATTTCAATGAGGAGCTTCACAAGTGCAAATCTCAACCAGTAAATATAGTAAACATCACGAGACTCTTAATTCATTCACAGCATGACAGTGTAATAGTGAAGCAAAAAGTTCATGCATAAAAGATGCCACTTTCATTGCAAAATAAGATTTAGATTAGGGAACATGTTCAGTATTAACTTAACTAAGAGTTTTCCCTCAGTAAACTCCTAATTGCTTCTTATTGATAGTGAGTAAGGTAGTTGTTGTAGTAGTTATGTTAAGGTATGGTGTAGGGTTAAGGGGTCTAGAAAATGGTCATGCAGAATAAGGCATTCATATGTGCCTTATAATTACTAAGAAACAGCCAATATGCTAGTAATATGCATGCTGATAACCAACTAGTTAATAGTGTTCCCTAATCTCAAGTGTTACCATAAATACATTTTAAAAAATTATATTTTATATAACTTACTCAAGGTGATGCTGGTTCCAGTGACTATATCTGGGCTTACAGTAGAAGCAGCCTGTGAAATAGTGCTGACATCTACAAAGAAGGACATTCAAGACATGACTGAGAACATTTAAAAAGTTAGAAAAGACTTTGTAAAGTGGTAAAAAGCAAGGTACCTGTGCAGTATCCTGAACACCCAAATTGTGGATTCACAAGTTCATAGACATAGTAATTTCCTGAACACGCTTTCACTCTGATGGGTTTTGTATTGTAATCACAGCAGCCACTCCAATAATGACCACAGACCTCTCTGATCACCACTCCATCCTCTATCTGAGGGTGAGGACCATTGAGCCACAGATTGATGTGTACATTACAGCTGTATGAACTAACACAGGTCTCTGGCATCTGGATGTTCATTCCATAGTAGAAAAGCCGGTACCAGCCATTCCAGGTTTTGTATTGTAATCACAGCAGCCACTCCAATAATAATTACCACAGACCTCTCTGATCACCACTCCATCATCTATCTGAGGGTGAGGACCATTGAGCCACAGATTGATGTGTACATTACAGCTGTATGAACTAACACAGGTCTCTGGCATCTGGATGTTCATTCCATAGTAGAAAAGCCGGTACCAGCCATTCCAGGAGAATCGTTCATCACAAACGTTATCTCCACTTTCATTGGTGGCTCTCCAGGGACGATCCAGAGACTCATAGTTGTAGCAGGGATCACTGCTGATGCTGCTGAAAGCAACTGTCATGGAGTTCAGAAAAGTACTGTTAAAATACTGCATTTACTGTACATTGAAGGCAATTTAGAGTATTACATCGTAAAACATAATGACTGTTTATTTCATGACAGGTCAATTATGAAGAGATATTCATTATGAAGTAACTTATTGATTTGTTTATCATTTTAATATAAATAACATGGCAAGACATGCTTACAGTTGAAACTTAAGTTTTAAAGTTGTGAGATTTGAGGAACTGTGTTACAACTAACATGACAGCTACAGTTAGTGAAGTGCTATGAGAGTGTGGGGAGAATTACAAAGTAGCCTACAGAATGGTTAATGAACTGCACACCACTGATTCTAACTGGTTAAACCATGTTAAATTGTTAAAACATGTTTAATATGTATGTTAATTTACTCTTGATACAGCCATTTTAAAAAATCACAAAAGAGAGTTTCACCTGCACAATACGTAGGTCCAGGGGCTGATTTGTTGGGTTTGACAAATTCATAGACATAATAATCTCCTGGACAGGCTTTGACTTGGATAGACGTGGAATTGTAGGATCCACACCGATTGGAATACCCCCACCCCACATAAGTTCCCAAAACTTCACGGGTCACCACTCCATCCTCAACTCTTGGATGAGAGCCGCTAAGATACAGTCCAGTGTAAGCACCACATCCCACATAACTCACACACCACTCAGACATCTGAGCACTTTCTCCGTTCAAATACAGCCGATACCAGCCACTCCATTCAACAAGGGTGTCATCATGTCCATAGTTTTAGAATAATGACATAAAAAAGGACAATCCTGTGATGATACATACTCACAATGTGAAACAGTTGAGTCTTTATGACAAGAAGCGATATTGGGATAGTGCACTTAGGAGGGATTATATAAACTGACTGCAACTTCAACAAATGTATTAGTTTATACCACTCTCTCACTAATTTCAGTTCATTTTCTAGGAACTGTGTCTATTTTTTTTTTCCACCCGTTCAAATGACACCCTTAAAAAAATGTAAAAGTATTGTTGTTTATGGTGTGTTCAGATGTATGTAATTTGTAACAACTTATAATTTGCTTAAAAATGTGATTATAGCTATCACGTCTACTATCATTCTCTCTGGTCTGTTTTCAGGTGCTGCTGTTTCTGCTCTGTCCAGCAGGTGAAGTCTAGTGTTATTGTTCTGCTGTCTATCATGGATCATCTGTTACTAACATAACCTGTTAACATAACCTGTTACTCCACCCATTTCACCTGCTCATCTTTACCAGCTCACTATCTACATGCATATATAGCTGCTTTCAAGTCATTTCTAAAAGATTTTTCAATAGCATGAAAAACATTTGAATGGAAGACTACTCCAATTCTAAATTGTAACACATATTAATATACACAGTATGCTGTATAAATGATCAGTTACTACAGAAAGTCACAGTTGTGAGATGTAAATCTGAATTATGAGAAAAAAGTTCAGAATTGTGAGATAAAATTGCCTTATGAGCCTGTAAACCTAACTTTTCGACATGAAGATAATTTTTTTCTGTCTAAAACACATTTCTTATCCATGAATATGTATTTATTTATTTATTCAAAAAAAAAATTTATATATGTATATATATATAAAACCAATTACTCTCAAAAGGCCTGACAATGTGCATGGTTAAGTAAAACAGTTATTATTACAATTGTGACATAATGTTAATCATTACTACAGGCATGAAATTAAATTAAATTAAATTAAATTAAATTAAATTAAATTAAATGAAAGGGACTCGACACAAAACTATCAAGTGTTTGGAATTTGTGCATTTCATAAATGTCAAAAATTCCAAACACATCTTTTTTTTTCTCAACACAATAAAAATAATAAAATTGTGCAAGTGCAAAAAAAAGTTCTTTCAGAGAATTATTAATTTTATGCTTATTTTATTTTTATATTTGTATCAAGTTTCTGTGGACAATCAAAGCAGATGCCTTTTGCCTTCAGATAAAACAACTCTTCTTGTGCAGAACAGGAGGGTTAACATGAACATACAGTACACAGGAACTGCTTATTCTTATCAATGTGTGAACGACAGTAAATTCCTTTCGACTCACAGGAAAAACAAGTTTTGTCATGTAGTTGAACCTTCACATACTTCACAAACAATTCCATTACACAAAATGGAACAAATCCTCTCCATATCTATTTACAGATCTGTATATGCTTGATTAGCTGTTTGTGACACAATAATGTGTACAAACTTATATATTAAGGTATGTAGGATGGCATTAGTGAAAGTAATTTTTTTTTTTCTGTGTAGCTGAATAATCCATTGTGTCATCACGTTCACAATCAGATGCACAGCTGTATCAGTGCTATGATTTGCACAACATATATTTTATTTGTAAAAGATGAGTTGGAATGTTGTCGCTGATTTTATGAGCACAACACGCACTGAAAAACAAATGTGTGGCATCTGGACAGATTACATTTTTCAGCTGAATCAGTCAATTGTGCAGAACTTGAGGTGACGAAAATATTTATTTAAATAATATTTATCTAAAACACTTTTTAGTAAAAAAATTGTTTGTTGAATTTGTTTTCCCAGTAATTGTTCAAATACAGCCTATTTTGTCCTGGCAATGTAGATGATAAAGTACATAGATACGATTATTATTATGATTATAACTAATGTTAATCACTGATGGTCTGCTGAAGCTGCATGCATCATGAAATGGACTGAACATGAAAGTAGTGAGTGTTGGGGATTTGATTATAAAAAGGTAAGAAAGAGATGGTTCTTTAAAGAACCTTTGACTGAATGGTTCTTTGTGGAACTAAAAATGGTTCTTCTTTGGCATTGCTTGAAGAACCTTTTGAAGCACCTTTATTTTTAAGAGTGTAGGGAAGTTCTTGAATTGTCTTTTGTTTATTTCGTTCCTGATAGGGAATTTAGTTTCTGGGTTAAAGTAGCTTACTTTGTATATTATTTTGGCTTGGCCCAGCCCTGAAATTATTTCTGCGTTCTTATTCATTGTATTATCTGCTGGCAAAGCTTGTTTTCCTCTAACCTCACAATAAAAGCAAGAACCCGAGGAAGTTATTTTGAAATCAACTTTTTTTTATTCTTTCATTCTTCTTTTTATTTTCCTTTTATGTGTAACCCTTGAACCCTAGACATGGGCGTCTTAACAGTATATGGTCGAATTATAGGATCTAGAAATTGGTTATGCAGAGTAATGCATTTATATGTGCTTTGTAAGTTCTAGTAAACAGCCAATATGCTAGTAAGATGGAACCTAATTAGAAATTAGTTAATGGGGAATAGTGTTCCCTAATCTCAAGTGTTATCATAAATGCATTTTAAAAATTTAAACATACATATATAACTTACTCAAGGTGATGCTGGATCCAGTGATTATATCTGGACTTACAGTATAAGCCAACTGTGAAATAGTGCTGACATCTACAAAGAAGGACATTCAAGACATGACTGAGAACATTTAAAAAGTTAGAAAAGACTTTGTAAAGTGGTAAAAAGCAAGGTACCTGTGCAGTATCCTGAACACCCGATTTGTGGTTTCACAAGTTCATAGACATAGTAATTTCCTGGACACGCTTTCACTCTGATGGGGTTTGTCTTGTAATCACAGCAGCCACTCCAATAATAATTACCACAGACCTCTCTGATCACCACTCCATCCTCTATCTGAGGGTGAGGACCATTGAGCCACAGATTGATGTATGTGTTACAGCTGTATGAACTAACACAGGTTTCTGGCATCTGGATGTTCATTCCATAGTAGAAAAGCCGGTACCAGCCATTCCAGGAGAAAGAGTCATCACAAACGTAATCTCCACTTTCATTGTTGGCTCTCCAGGGACGATCCAGAGACTCATAGTTGTAGCAGGGATCACTGCTGATGCTGCTGAAAGCAACTGTCATGGTATTTTTAAAAGTACTGTTAAAATACGGTATTTACTGTACATTGAAGGCAATTTAGAGTATTACATTGTGAAAAAAATTATACATTTAAACTGCAAAAGAAGTGATGTTATGTAAACGGGTATTTAGACTGACACACATAGAGCCTAATATTTAAACAACAACAACAACAAAAACTGTTTTGATTCATTTTTAGGTGGAGGACAGGTAAATTATGTAGAGATATTCATTAAGAATGGAGTAATTTAGTGATTATGTATTATCATTAATAACATGGCAAAACACACTTACAGTTGAAATTTACATAATTTACAGTAGAAAGGAGCTGTTATTGGTTCGTCTAGAGTTGTGAGATTTGAGGAACTGTGTTACAACTAACATGAGAGCTACAGTAGGAGAGTGCTATGAGAGTGTGGGGAGAATTACAAAGTAGCCTACAGAATGTGTAATGGACTGCACTGATTCTAACTGGTTAAACCAGGTTTAACTTAATAAAATAATAAATTAAAATGTATGTTAAATTATCTAATAATCAGACCATTAACTCTTGATACTTACATAAAAAAAATCACAACATTTTGAAAAGAAAAAGAGTTCAAATTTCACCTGCACAATATGTAGGTCCAGGGGCTGATATGTTGGGTTTGACAAATTCATAGACATAATAATCTCCTGGACAGGCTTTGACTTGGATAGATGTGGAATTGTAGGCTCCACACTGATTGGAATACCCCCACCACCACCACATATGACTTCCCAAAACTTCACGGGTCACCACTCCATCCTCAACTCTTGGATGAGAGCCGCTAAGATACAGTCCAGTGTAAGCACCACATCCCACATAACTCACACACCACTCAGACATCTGAGCACTTTCTCCGTTCAAATACAGCCGATACCAGCCACTCCATTCAACAAGGGTGTCATCATGTCCATAGTACTGATACGCGTTTTGTCCTAAGTCTCTCCAGTATTCATCAAGAGTGGTATAATCATAGCAGGGATCAGAGGTGGAAGTTGTAGGTTCTGAGAGAATAATGACATAAAAAAGGACAAAGATTTATGAGTGTCTTTATGATAAGATATTGGGATAGTATACTAAGGAGGGATTATATAAATTGACTGCGCTTGTATCCTCTTTTAAAACATTCTGTCACTAATTTAAAAATATTTACTAACTTGATCTCAGTTCATTTATAGGAGCTATATTCACTTCCATTAGCTCGAATGGCATGTGGCTCTTAAAAAAATATAAAAGTACGGTTGTTTTTTGTGTGCTCAAAATATATATTTATTTTGAATAGGTTGTATAGTATATCTGTATTGTAATGCTTATTATTGTACCACATGTTTGCATTTGTACAGGAAACATTTATTTTCTAAAAGTACTGAGGCTTTGAATAAAAGAAAATGTAAATGTTTATTGACACCATAAAGTGAAAATATTGAATAAATTGAGCACTTGCTCTGGTATGTAATCAAAGTACAAAGTATCAAAGTATGTATCCAGTATGTAACAATGTACAATTTCCTTAAAAATGTGATTATAGCTATCACGTCTACTATCATTCTCTCTGGTCTGTTTTCAGGTGCTGCTGTTTCTGCTCTGTCCAGCAGGTGAAGTCTAGTGTTATTGTTCTGCTGTCTATCATGGATCATCTGTTACTAACATAACCTGTTAACATAACCTGTTACTCCACCCATTTCACCTGCTCATCTTTACCAGCTCACTATCTACATGCATATATAGCTGCTTTCAAGTCATTTCTAAAAGATTTTTCAATAGCATGAAAAACATTTGAATGGAAGACTACTCCAATTCTAAATTGTAACATATTAATATACACAGTATGCTGTATAAATGATCAGTTACTACAGAAAGTCACAGTTGTGAGATGTAAATCTGAATTATGAGAAAAAAGTTCAGAATTGTGAGATAAAATTGCCTTATGAGCCTGTAAACCTAACTTTTCGACATGAAGATAATTTTTTTCTGTCTAAAACACATTTCTTATCCATGAATATGTATTTATTTATTTATTCAAAAAAAAAATTTATATATATATATATAAAACCAATTACTCTCAAAAGGCCTGACAATGTGCATGGTTAAGTAAAACAGTTATTATTACAATTATGACATAATGTTAATCATTACTACAGGCATGAAATTAAATTAAATTAAATTAAATTAAATTAAATGAAAGGGACTCGACACAAAACTATCAAGTGTTTGGAATTTGTGCATTTCATAAATGTCAAAAATTCCAAACACATCTTTTTTTTTCTCAACACAATAAAAATAATAAAATTGTGCAAGTGCAAAAAAAAGTTCTTTCAGAGAATTATTAATTTTATGCTTATTTTATTTTTATATTTGTATCAAGTTTCTGTGGACAATCAAAGCAGATGCCTTTTGCCTTCAGATAAAACAACTCTTCTTGTGCAGAACAGGAGGGTTAACATGAACATACAGTACACAGGAACTGCTTATTCTTATCAATGTGTGAACGACAGTAAATTCCTTTCGACTCACAGGAAAAACAAGTTTTGTCATGTAGTTGAACCTTCACATACTTCACAAACAATTCCATTACACAAAATGGAACAAATCCTCTCCATATCTATTTACAGATCTGTATATGCTTGATTAGCTGTTTGTGACACAATAATGTGTACAAACTTATATATTAAGGTATGTAGGATGGCATTAGTGAAAGTAATTTTTTTTTTTCTGTGTAGCTGAATAATCCATTGTGTCATCACGTTCACAATCAGATGCACAGCTGTATCAGTGCTATGATTTGCACAACATATATTTTATTTGTAAAAGATGAGTTGGAATGTTGTCGCTGATTTTATGAGCACAACACGCACTGAAAAACAAATGTGTGGCATCTGGACAGATTACATTTTTCAGCTGAATCAGTCAATTGTGCAGAACTTGAGGTGACGAAAATATTTATTTAAATACTATTTATCTAAAACACTTTTTTGTCAAAATAAAAATTAGTGTGTTGAAATTTTTTTTTCCAGTAATTGTTAAAATACAGCCTATTTTGTCCTGGCAACGTAGATGATAATGTACATAGATACGATTATTATTATGATTATAACTAATGTTAATCACTGATGGTCTGCTGAAGCTGCATGCATCATGAAATGGACTGAACATGAAAGTAGTGAGTGTTGGGGATTTCATTTCATAAATGTCACAAATTCCAAAGACATTTAGCTTGGTTTATCTGATAAAACTTTGTTTCAATAAAAATAAAAAATTTTAAATTAAAAGTGAAAAAAATAAATTGTGTTGGATTGCTAAAATGTGAGAACCTTTCATATCGATATCACTAAATTACTCCTATTACATTTATTTTATTTTTTATATAAAGCTAAGGATGGAAAGATTAGATAAAGCTAAGGATGGAAAGATTAGATAAAGTAATATATATATATATATATATATATATATATATATATATGATATACTGTATGTACCTGAAGTTTGTCCATTGATCATTTCACCTGTTAAATACACAGTATAAACATAATGAATTAATACTGAATGTAAACCTACTTACAATATCATTGTAAAGCACATGACAAATAAAGCTCTCACCATTAATCAGCAGCAGTAGAGACACACACAGTGAGATCAGAAACCTCATTGTGACCAACGGCAACTCCTGCACCTGCACACATATACATACAAATATACATACACACAACCAGTCAAACGTTTTTGAACAGTAATACTTTTGTTTTTTAAAGAATTCTCTTCTGCTCACCAAGCCTGCATTTTTTAATCCAAAATACAGCAAAAGCAGTAATATTGTGAAATATTTTTACTATTTAAAATAACTGCTTTCTATTTGAATATCTGTTAAACTGTAATGTATTTCTGTGATGCACAGCTGTATTTTCAGCATCATTTCTCCAGTCTTCAGTGTCACGTGATCTTCAGAAATCATTCTAATATGCTGATTTGCTGCTCAAGACACATTTCTGATTATTATTAATAATATTTAAAACAGCTGAGTGCATTTTTCAGGATTCTTTGATGAATAGAAAGATCCAAAGATCAGCATTTATCTGAAATAAAAAGCTTTTGTAACATTATACACTATAAACTTCAAAAGCTTTTCATATAATTTTTTTTGTTTGAATTAATAATTGTATGTAGCAAGGATGATAAAAACGTTTATAAATGATACATTCTGTTCTTCTGAACTTTGTATTCATTAAAGACACCTGATGATATTACTGCTTTTGCTGTATTTTGGATTAAATAAAGTAATGTATGTGTGTGTGTGTGTGTGTGTGTGTGCGTGCGTGCGTGC